CCTCATGATTTCCCTGTAAGGAAAGCAGGATAATTAGGATTAACCACTTTGGGCCAAAGGAGAAACAGAGCCCAGAGGGAGTGAAATGACTTGCCCAAGGTCCCACGGATAGCGAGTGGCATGGAACCTGGGGAGCCTTCCTCATGCCATATTGCTACCACCACACCCTCTTCAGGTGGCACAGCATACTCCTAGAGGTCACTGCAAAACTGTCTTTGCACTTTTCATAGCCTCCCTTTGCCTATAAGAACCTGGAGGCGGCCCATTAAGGTGGGACAGCCTCACCACGTCTGGACACCAGCACCTGCCCTCCCTTCTCTCCCCAAAAATGAAGCCCCTCCCAGGCTTTCGGAAAACATGTGCTGTGTGATCATCTCCATGTCCTGGGCAAGTCTTTTTCTTTAACAACGTGAAAACCCCTCAAGGAAAGATATTTTGTCTGTGCTTTTCCAAGGGTAAGGGGAAGCTTCAAAGGGTAAAGGAAATTAGACAAGATTGGGAAATATTGAGGGCAGAGGAGGAAAAGGTGCTCACCATGTGTATGGCTGCAGGCAGGAGTTTCTGGGGCTTGCTTGTATATCCCGACCTCTTGGCAGTTTCTCAGTGCTGACTTATTGACTTGACCCCAGTCTGGCTTGAGAAGGGATGCCTCCAAGGGTAACCCATGACTACTCACTCCTAAATCCACAGGACCAAAATCAATGAGCCCATGCCGCTGCCTCTGTGCCAGCCCATCCCTAAGCCCCTCCTCCCCGCCCCCTGCCCACCTCCAGCCCCAGTGATGAATCTGAACCCCGGTCTTAAACATTTCCAGACATGGAGATGCCTTGATGGTCTCTTCCTAGATATCTAGGCTCCCGTGGTTTTGATGTGCTTCCTTGGGTCTAGCCTCAATTATTCCTGCTGCATTTTTGAAAGACCTCTTCTTTGGCTCTCTGTAGAGGAGAGCAGGCGTGGTGCCAACAGGCAGGAAATGAAATCAGCTGTTGGTCATTTCTCCCTCTTCTTCCCCTTCTCTCCTCCCCCCTCCTCCCTTCACCGCTCTGCCCTCCCCCCCTTGGGGCTGCCTGTCAGATGTTTTCGCAGTGATGAGCAAAGCCTGTGTGTACAGTGCCTTTATGTGTTATAGATTTTTGCCGTAAGCCTTCAGGCTTCTCCTTGCAGCCCTGACAAGGGAAATCCCATAATGAAGGATTTCACGGAGCTCCACAGCCTGGGAGAGGCTTTTCTTTCCATCTGTCATTTTACTTCAAGCCTTGACCTTTCTGTTCCCATGTAAGGCAGGACCAGGAAGAAGCTTGGGCTGCACAGCAAATGTCAGGGGTGGGACCGTGAACTAGGCAATGAGTGAACCAAAGCCAAGGGTCTAGGTGGCTTTAAAATGGGGGACTAAGGACGACAGGGCACACTTCAGAGGGTGTGGATGAGAGGCAGGGTGGGGGTGAGGAGAAGAGTTTAAAGAAAGGAGAGTCCCCCCCCCACCCACAATCCCCTAGTTTAGAAGAAGGTCCTGCATACAAGTGGGACACAGAGCAGCCTGGGAGCCACCTGTGCGGCCATACCTCGCAGACACTCAGGGGTGCCCTTCTTACTAAAGAAAGCAGAGGCTTCAGCCTCCCCCAAATCTGGGCTTAAATATGGGCTCCACCCACTTATTTGCTATGACCTTGGGCCAGTCGCTTAAACTCCTTAAGCTCCAGTTTCCCCCTTTGAAAATTAGGGGTCCTAACAGGCTTCACAGACAGGTCTGCAGATAGGATAGGATACTGTCCAGTGGTCAGCGTCACACCTTCAGACAGGTAGCTCGGACTCAAGGATGCAACCAGTACTTTCAGGTGCAGAGAGAACCTCATACCGATTGGGAAGATAACAGCAACCAGAAAGCCCTCCTCATCCTCTCCTGCCCACCAAACTCCCCGAAACTCTCTAGAGGGGCCTCACCCCACGACAAACAGCAGCTGGGAAACCAAGCTCAGGGCTTTGATGCCAGCGAAGGCCCATCTTCTGACCAACTTTCCCATGTCAGGTCGATAGGGAGGCTGAAAAAAAAAATCCCAGTCTCCAAGGCTCCACGACCAAATACCCGCCCGGCAAGACTGTGAAAGGGCAAAGCTGCCGAGATGCACAAGGATTGTGATTGTTTGAAATGTTGGTAACATTTCATCTTCCCAGAGACCTTGTTCATTTATCAGGGTTCTTAAAACCCTTTTGTTCATAAGCTTGTGGTGAGCACAGAAAACATTCTATCTAATATCAGAGCACAGCTGTTCCGCGACAGAAAGACTTAAAACAAGGAAGGGGGGAAATCCCACCAGCGATACAAACATGGGAAAAGCGACCGGAGGCAGAAAGAAGGCCTTGCAAGCAACAGCTGCCTAACAAGAATATGCTGTTTGGAGAAGTGTGAGAAAAAGCACTAACACACTGACAGCGGGTCTCCGAGCTCTCAGCACACACTGTGACCACCGAGAGCCCCAGAGCGGGGCTCCTCCTCTCTGGAGGGTTCCTGGCAATCAAGCAGGAGGCCCACCAGGGCCCTAAAAATGTTTGAAGTAGGTGTGGAGCCCTGAGTAATATCTTCTTAAGGCCAATGTGGCTGGAAAAAAAAAAAAAAGCCTAGTGGAAAACTGTCCATCCAAGGCCACAGAAGACCAGGAAATATTTTCTAAAAGGGCTTTGATTGCTCCTGAAAGCACAAGACAGCGTGAGCAGGGCCAGGCCAAGGCGGGGACTGTGTGACGCTCGCCATTGGCTGTGTGAGGTCGGGGCAGACAGGTCCAGAGTCTAGGATTTATTTGCAGCTCTTAATTATTTAGTGGGGAGCTGTATAGAACTTCCCAAATTCGGATAAAGGATAATGACGCCAATGTTTATGAGATGTCTGAATAGAGGAAAACCACATCCATGTTGATGGAGTAATCTGAAGAGTAGAAATTGTGTTAAATGTAGTTTAATTTTATATGTAAAGCCAAATTCTAAAAGGGAAAAAAGATAAGTCAAGCGGGGTAAATTTTCAACACCGAAAATTACAGTTGCCTTATAGTATGACATTAGCATGTTGCAGGAGTTACGAGCATGAGCCCTGGAATCAGAAAGGCCTGGGTTTAAATGCTGGGCTGGGTCACCTTGAGAAAACATTTCAACCATTCTGCGCCTGAGTTTCCTCATCAGTGAAATGAGAATAAAGGCAAGTACTTCATAGGATTGCTCTGAAGGTTACATGAGCTGCTATAAAAAATGGTTAGAAAAAGGTGGGAGCCTCTTCAGCCCCCACAAAAGTAGAAGCTATGATTGTAATGAGATGGGGGTTATAATGATATTTTGTTGCAATAAGGAGGAGGAAATTTAGGTGGTCTCAGCTTGATCGCTAATTGGACCCTGTAACACCTCCAGGCCTCACTTTCCTCTGTCAGAGGCAAATGATCCCTGTGTACCCTATCTGACACGAATGTTGTGGGTCAAAGATGAGTATGAAACAGAAAGGCATAGAAAATGTGATCTATGATTATTATAAAGTATCCTTCTTATGCAATTTATTTCCCCATGCTCGGCAAGCACTGTAATGCAAGAACTTTGAATGATCGGCTAATCATTCTACCTGATGCCAAAAACATGACCTCCAGCTTTGTTTGGATCCTGATTCTAACAAATCAATTGAGAGAGAGTTGAGAGAGAGAGAGAGAGAGAGAGAGAGAGAGAGAGAGAGAGAGAGAGAGAATATCAGGGAAATTTGATATTAAGGAATTATTAATTTTTGCTAGTTGTGATAATCATATATCCGAGGGTTCTTACATGGTTACACATGGAGTCTTTATAGCTGAAATTACCTGATGTTTGGATTTACTTTAAAATCATCTCTGTGGGAGGGGGAACCAGGGATAGGTATAGATAAAAGAAGACTGTCCATATGTTAATAATTGTAGAAGCTGAGCAAGGAGCACATGGGAATTATTTATATTATATCCTCTGCCTTTATGTTTGAAAATTTTCCATAATAAAAGGAAAAACAATACAAAAAAAATCCAAGAGGGGGATCAGTGATTAACTATCCGTGACGGCAGCTGATGGCCAGGTAGACAGTTCTGACGAAGAACAATCAGACATTTCGGATACAAGGAAGATGCACAGTAATGGAGAAAGCTGGAAACGGGACAGCTTGCCACAGACAAAGCCTTGTGAAGCGACCAAGTCTTAATTTCTCCATGCTGCTGTTTCCTTCTCTTTCAAGTGAAGAGGTAAGGCTCAAATGCCTCTTTCAGTCTTAACACGATGAGATTTTTAAGGATTTCAAAATCAAGTACACTACGCCTATTTTCTGAATGGAATATATAAATCTCACTCTCAAGTGAATGAAACCATTTAAAACGTACCAGACATGCTCTCAATTTAAAGAAGCCCTGTGAGAGAGCGTCTGTCTGGCTTAAGCAACAAATCTTTTGGTGGAGTCTGTATCTTCTTCCCCAATTTATATGTGACTTCTGATTCGCTGGTTACAGTAAAAGGTCAATTAACAAAAACAGAGTTTGGAGAAGTTTTCCCAAAGTCCATTTTTATGCACTGAACGTTAACTTGAAAAAAATCCTATATGTTTCAATTCCCTTTTTTTTTTTTTAAGATTTTATTGGGGAATTGGGGGAGGAGACAGCATTGGGGAATTAGGGAAGGGTAACAAACAAGTTGCTGTCCTTTTGTTCTTCAGTCTAGTTGTGAAGGACGTCACTTCACTGGCCCATGTTGGAATTGTGATCATTGCACTCTTCCCGGCTGAGGCAGATCGGTCACCGGCCCCTGGACGGCCACTCACAGTGGCTCTTGGCAGCTCACGCTGGTTGCCAGCCTCTCACACTGGCTGCCAGTCACTCGCGGTAGCTTATGGCAGCCCACTGCAGCTCCACTGCAACCTATGCCATCGCCGGCAACTCACAGTAGTCCAGTTCCAGGTCGAGCTGTTGTTCATCATCTTAGCTGTAGAGGGCACAGGGTCACTGGCCCATGTGGGATCTGATGCGGGGCCCTGCTGCTCAGAGCTGGTGTCCCAAGCCAACTCTTAACCAATGCGCCACTCGGCCAGCCAATATGTTTCAATTCTTGATACAAAGAAATCTCTCAAAGAGGGGAATCTACTCTCCTATCTCAGCAAGCACAGAGAAAGAGACGCAACCTTCTTGGTGATCTGGGTGGGTTCGGGGTTTCTTCTGGCTTGAGGTCACCACTGGGCACCTAGACTTACTGTGCTGGACTGGAGAGGTAGACAGAGGGGGTAGAGGTCGAGTTGAGTCTAGACCAGGTATCGGCAAACTTTTGAAACGGAAGAGCCATCAGGGGTTAGCAAACTGCTGCTCGCAATCCCTGAAGTAAAATTGAAAATGAAAATAAAACAAAAGTATCAGAGTTTCATTTATAAAATTTTTAAAGGTTATTATTCACATAATGGTGGTTATGTAAAAATATATTTATGGCTTTCGAATAATTTTTAAATTATTGTGAGGGACAGGATAGGCTCTTCCAGGGGTCGGCAAACTTTTGAGATGGAACGTACCCAAAGAGCCGCATGTGGCTCGTGAGCCGCAGTTTGCCGACCCCTGGTCTAGACTGACGCCTTGGCATCTTCTGGAACGTACATTATTTTCAACATCAATCCTTGTAAGAGCCAGTTTTATATTGTCCTGCAAGTGAAGGACAGAAAAAGAAGAGCAGTTAGTTAATGAAGTGGTTTTTGTTGTCTGAGTCAATTAATCAAGGTTTATTGAAATGGGTTGTCTCCTTGAACCCCTCATTCCCACCTACTTCTCATGTGTCTCTTTGCTTCTATGAACTGTGTTTACTCATAAAACACCCCTGTGTGGCCTTTTTCTCCAGACCAACCAATTCTCCAACTCTCTGGACAGCAACTGGGTGTCCTACAAATCATTTCAATTCTGACATGTTAGGGGCTCAGTCCCCAAGGCTGCCCTGCCTTGGATGCCAGTCACAAGTCCCATGTTGCCACCTGTACTCCTGAGTGACCAGCTATGAATTTAGGGGCTCTCATGACCCCTCCTCAGGTATGATGATTTGTTAGAGTGGCTCATAGAACTTGGGAACAGTTTACTATCCCTGGTTTATTTTAAAGGATATTATAAAGGACACAGATAAACAGATGAAGAGGCACACAGAGTGAGGTGTGGACAGATCCCGAGCACAGGAGCTTCTGTCTCTGTGAAGTGGGGTGCACCATCCTCCCAGGCATGGCTGCATCATCACTTGCCACTGGTGATTAACTCAATCTCCAGCTCCTCTCCCCTCCGCAGAGGCTGGGGGGTGGGGCTCAAAGTCCCAACCCTTTAATCATGCCATGGTCTTTTTGGTGACCAGCACCCTCCCTGAAGCTACCTAGGGGCCCAGCATTAGAACAAAAGACCCTCCTATCACCCAGGAAATTCCAAGGGGCTTAAGAGCTCTGTGTCAGGAACTAGAGAGAAAAACCAAAACAATGTATTTTTATTATATCACAGCTACCCCAAAGGCTTGGCATAAAATTTGCTAGGACACTGCCTGCAAATCTCACTTCCTCCAAGAAGTACATGATTTTGTCCAGCAAGGATTCAATGTTGTTTACTCCTCTCAAAGGAACCCTCACTGAACATTGAAAAAGCAGACCAAAAATGTCTTTGGACATTCGATAAGCCAGCATTTATTGAACAACTGCTATGTACAGGCACTTGCTAGGAGCTCTAAGAAATGCAGAGGAGGCAGAAGGTCCCTAGCTTCTTCATGTGAGGAGACAACTCCCAAACTTTGATGCCTGGCATTTCAACACTGCGATCAAGTCCCAGCTTCCTCCTTAGCTGCTGAGGACTTAGTCCTCTCTTTCCTTCTCTGTAATATGGGATGATAATAACATCGACTCATGGATCCTTGGGAGGATTAAATGAGATAATCCCAGAACAGCAGTTACAATAGTGCTTGGTACATGGTAAGTACTCAGTAAGTGTTGTCTGAGCATCTGAGAGACGTATTCATGCCAGAAGCTGCTGACACCAAAAGACATATCAGATAGCGGATGGACAAGACATCCAACACCCAAGGCCAAATGAGGAGCAGGATGGGGTTATTGTGGAGAGAGTTCCTAGGACTGACTGGCTGGCTGTCAGAGTGCCTGAGGCTTCTATCACTCAAGTCCCCGCTTTTAGCCTCAGCTTAATGGGGACCCCTGCCCTGAATCAATGTGGACTGGCCTGGACCTCAGAGTACCGAGGCTTTCCGTCCCCTGAACAGAACTGTGAGTTCGACGGGTGTATGGAAAATGATAAGTCAGAAAGGGCTCCACAGAGGAGGCGGCATTGGAGCCAAGGCTTCCGAGATGGATCCGGTTTCAGAAGGTAAGGGGGCAGAGAAAATGAAGAGGTCAGTTTAGGGGTGGCCCATCTCCTCCCGCTAGAGGCACAGGTCCAAGGCCACCTCATCCTGGGTGGACACTGTACACTGTCAGGAATGTGTCGCTCCTTCTCTCTGAAACCCCGTTGCTGCCCAAACAGAAACCTACTTTATCTTGTCTGGCTCTTGGGAGAGCTGCTGCCTACATCCCCTAGTCCACAAAACAGCCCTTCTCAGATCTGAGGGCTGAAGTCGTGCCAGCCCTTCCCTCCGGTTTTCTCCTCTCCCAAGAACCATGTCGGGTTCTTCTCCTAGAAGCCACGACTTGTCGTTGCAAGCTGCCCAGCACGGGGGTGCCAACCCGCGAGGGAGCTTTGAGGCCGTTCCTGGCAAAAGCCCAGGCTTGTGGCTGCCGTCTCATCACCCTCTCTGCCTCCCTCCATCTCCAGAGCTGCAGGAACATGGTCACTGGCACTCCTTCCCAGTTCAGCTCAGACTCTCTTCTCAGTACCCTGGCCATCACAGGAGATTTCAAGTGAAAAATAAGACAAAAACGGATAAATGTCTTCCTATTTTATCAGAAAGTATAAGCAGTAAAAGATAATCCCAGTTCTGCCATTTACCAGCTGGGCGAGGTTGGGCAAATTACATAACCATTCCGTGCCTCAGTTTCCCCCTCTGTTAAACAGGGATAACAGTGGTCCCTTTCATAGTGTTATTGTAAGGACTGAATGAGTTGCTGTCAAAGAAGCATTATAAACAGTGCATTGTGCAGAGTGAGGGTATCACTAATATTATGTTGTTATTGTGGTTAACAGGGCAGGACACTGAATCAGTGGATACAGGAGACACCACTTAACCTCTCTGAGCTTCAGTCTCTCCATCTTCTTAAAATGGAAACAATAATCATACCTACTTCATGCAATTGTTGGAGGACCAGAGATGCTGCTTGCTCCCGGTTTTCTGTTAATGATTCAGCACCATACTTGACATATAGTTAAGTCAGAAAAAGGTTTACATTAGAAAAAAAAAATCTTGAAAGAAAGAAAGAGAAAGAGAGAGGGAGGGAGGGAGGAAGGGGAAGGAAAGGAAAGAGGGAGGAAGTGAAGAAGGATGGGAGACCCCAGCTAGAAAAGCAATGACCAAACTCATTAGACATCTAATGAGACCTCGCAAACGCAAGTGGCTGCAACACTGCATACAGACTACAGCCCCCCACCCCCGAGAGTCACCACATCTGGGGCACCCTCACTTCCCTTCTCCATGCCTAGCCAGGAGTCCTGCACCCCCACAATCACTGAGGTAAACCACAGTTGAATGAACAGCATGTTTCAACATGCCTACCCAACCCCCAGGAAACCAGGAGAGCAAAAAGAATCTCTTAGAATTTTCCTCTCCTTGCTCGGCCCACAGAGTCCCACCATCTGGGAGGCTGGCTGCTGGGGGTGGCACAGTTCGCATGAATATGCCACGTGACTTTGAGTGCAGTGGTCAGGAGACCAGGCTTTGGCTTTTGAAAGATGGTGGCTCAAGACCCTTCTGGTTACTGGCTGTGGGGTTCAGGTACATTTCTTACTCCTTCCTAGCCTCAGTTTCCCCCTTCATGAAGTGGGAATTGTGAAAATCGCCTCACCCTGGAGTTGTGAGCATCGAATGAATTATTTGTAAGATGCTTAGCACAGTGTCTGGTCGATCAAAGTGCTTAATACATTTCGGCCACTATTATCAACTCTGGATTTCTCAAGGCCCTGAAGACAACAGGGTAATGGCTTCAGGAAGTAGTTTTAGGGAAAATCTGGTATCTGATTAATTGATCTGGTTGGGGGTCAGGAGAAGAAGGGTGTGGCCATGCCTGATCCCCTGGAATGCCTCTGCCCAGTGGCCCAGCATCGTGCCCATCCTGCTTTGGGGTCAACATCCCCCTCTGGCTGCAATTGTCATTCACATTCCCATTAACACCCCTCCTTCTGCAGAGATGTGAACGCTCTTGCATTGTTTCTTCCAGCCAATGGCTTTTCTCTGGCCTGTGATTGGTACCCCAGAGATTCCATCGCAATCCAGGCATGCCAGCTATGTCAGCGTGACTCAAGTTGTGTGTGGCTGACATCCACATGGCCCCGTAGAAGGCAGGCTCCAGCAGAAGGTTATTTGGAATGCTGCTGAATGTTTGATGTGTGTCAAGTTATCTTTTTGGGGTTAGGCCATTAAAGTCGCATCTGATGTTTTATGGAACAAACAAGATAAAATGCATGTTGAAATTCATGGGGCATGGAAAGAATTTTTATGGATGTAGACACAGTGGTAGCTAAAAGTAGGTGGGGTTTTCCCCACCTAAAGCTGTGTCGTTTTTCTTCCACATGGTTATTTCACTTGAATTCAAAGCAGAAACAACTCCCCAAAGTGTGGAGACTGCCACAGGAACAGGTTCGGTAAATCCCAGGGCTACTGGATCGACTCTAGAGAACACGGATCCATCCATCTGGCTCGTATCATCTCAGTCAGAGAGCTGTCTGCTTTGTTCTTAAATTCTGTCCCCAACCTTGGTCACATACCCTGAAGGAAAATTCTTTTCCAGGCAGATCTGAATCACTCCTGGGTGCTTTATACTCCATGGCCCGGGATCCCTATCCCCAGTTCCCCGAGGTGACCGATGCTCTAGATACCCCAGCCACACCAGCCAGCTCCTGGGCCTCTGAGCATACTGTGCACTCCCTAGTTTGGTTCCTGGGCTTTGTCGCCTTTGCCGAGAGCATCCTTCCTTTCCATCTCAGTCGCTATTCATCCAACCAAATGGTCCGAGTCCAACCAAATAACAGGCACATTGATTGCCAGGCCATGCAGTGCCACATTCTCCATGCAGACTCGTAGTCACCCACTCAGCTGAACCCCTCAGTCTCCCTCTTCCCGCACTCCCACAATATTGAGGTGACCCTACCTGCCCCTCTCCCATATTAAAGTGAAAGCTATGTGTGTCTGTGTCTGTTCCCTAGACTATAAGATATAAGGGACCTCAAGATGTTCATTTTCTATCTTGGACCTTTTTATAGACTCAAGACCTTAATATTTTTCTCCTATGGGCACTCAAATGCACAAAGAAGCAAAGCACAATGATTCTTGATGGAGCATTATTTATAAAAGCAAAATATTGGTAAGGTAGGGCACCAATTAGTCAATTGCCTATTAATCATCGGAAGTGGTTAAATCATGATGCATTCTTACTATTGAAAAACATTCTGCACTTACAATGAATGAAATAGATCTATAGGTACTGGCACAGAAAGACTCCATGAGGTTATTGTTAACTGAAAAA